CGTTGAAATCAGCTCTACCGCCCAGGAAACGCCTGACTAGCGACCAACAACAAATCGTCCAAGCGACGCGGGCTGAGCGCTGCGATGCTTGTATGATGGCGGCAGTCTCGAAGCTAGGAGCAAATGGGCCTTCCCACTCCTTGATTATTATGGATTTGACCTTTGTGAAAGAAACCTCAGTGATCTAAATTCTTCACAGTTAGTGATCTAACTTGCAACTTAGAGACTTAGTACTTAGATACCTGGCAGACACAGTACTATGGGTTCTAGACACTTGATTACTACGCTCAACATCAAAGGGAATTATTTCTAAGGCTGTGCACCCAGACAACATATGGCACAGGCTCACCACTAGCCACGTGGAGCACCAGTGTATATACATTCTACCAGGTCAGGGGCAGGAAACTGCACACACACACACCCACACCCAGTGTCTGCACTTAACCTCCTCTCTTCCCACCAACAACTTTCAGTGTGTATGTGTATTCCACAATCACGAGCTGAGACTGCTCAGACATCGCCCTGACTCAACAGTTGCGATGCTGCTAATAACGGTGATTCTCAGTCATCGTCGACACTGTCTTTGACAGTGCCCAGTGTGGAATTGGGAGGCCTCTCCTCTGCCGGGCTACCGTCGAAAAGTTGAGACGCCGCCGCTTAAACACGCATGTACAGGCCAAAGATCCCCAGCACTTCTCCAGTTCACCGTGCGGTGAGTCGTATCGTGCTGCTAGTTCAGCTGAGTCTCTCACCTCCTCCTCCTGAGCCAACGCTGGCAGCCCTAGCGAGCAGTGCAGCCAACATGCACACGGCCAAAAAGTAACAACCGCGCGCCATCATCCCCTTCCACGGTACACGAGTGATCAGTCACAGGAACTCGATCTTGTTCAGTCCGGCCATAGCTCTCCTTTCATACACAGTACCTCCTCCGAAGTACGAGAGCCAGGCGGAGAGATGAGCATGCAAAGAACACACGGCACCTTATATACTTGGGTTCTTTCCACGCGCGTGCGCAGCGCGGGGGTTTTGCGCATGCGTGAAAGAGACCTCTTCCGTGTTGTTGGTGTTGGGTTTTTTGTTGTTGTTTTGTTGGGGGTGGGGGGGGGTTTTTTTTTTTGTTGTTTTTTTTGTTTTTTTTTTTGTTTGTTGTTTGGGGTGGGTTTTTTTTTTTGGTTTTTTTGTTTTTTTTGGTTTTTTTTTTTTTTTTTTGTTTGTTTTTGTGGTTTGGGTGTTGTGTTGTTTGTTTGGTTTTTTTGTTTTGTGTTGTTTTTTTTTTTGTTTTGTTTTGTTTTTTTTTGTTTTTGTTTGTTTTTTTTTTTTTTTTTTTTTGTTTTTTGGGTGTTTTTTTTTTTTGTTTTGGTTGTGTTTTTGTTTTTTGTTTTTTTGTTTGGTGTTTTTTTTTTGTTTGTGTTGTTTTTTTTTTTTGGTTGTTTTTTTGTGGTTTTTTGTGTTTTTTTTTTGTTTTTTTTGTTTGTTGTTTTTTTTTTTTTTTTTTTTTTTTTGTTTTTGTGGGGTTGTTTTTGGGTTGGGTGTTCCGTGTAGTAGTAAAATCTACATACCGACTCCTATATACAACTAGCTACTACACAACGTGCATGTCCATAAAATCATCACTTGAGAAAGAAGGAAGAGACATCAGTCCATCATCCTCTTCCCAATCGACCTGCATACAAATCCCCAAAGGAAAACATTTAGATCTGGCACTATATAGCATACCTGATGAGTCTGTGAAGGTGTCTTTTGGTTTTCTTCAACACCTTTTCCCCCACCCTCCTCACCACCACTCACCTCCTCCTCCTCCCTCAGTGGCTTCGTGCACCAGCAGCATGCTGCATGCCAGTTGCCTGGTAGACCACGACTGACGAGCTGAAAGCGTAAGGTAAGTACCGTTCTGCTCACCTGCTCACCGCTCTGCCAATGTACAATACGCATGTAACGGCGACAGGTAGATCTGTCTTGCTTCACGAAAGGAAAGCTGTGTGCTGACGGCACGTTATGCAGCCCGAACATCGCGGGCAAATCCCAAGTTGGGTCGCTCCCGCTCGCCAACAATGTTCAACATTTCCACTAGTATCTATACTAGTAGGCGAATGCACGGCGAGCGGGAGCGAGCACACAATGATTATATCCGCACGGGCCAACCTAGGCTACTTACAACTTGCAGCTTGGAACCACGAACATTGCAAGCCTCGGTAAGGCACCAAAAAGTGTAGCGAATACCGCCGAATGGACGAGAGTTCTCTCCCTGCTAGGCTCGGCATGGAGCTAGCAGCGAGAGCGTGTAAAAAAGTTAAAATTATAAAAAGAAGCGCGTAATTCTGACACATGCGCAATCAGCATGACGTACGTATAGAAAAATAAATCGCGCCGTTTGGACCACTAGCTCCCGCTCGCCAATGAGGAAAATTCCGCGCTGTTCGTACCACTGGGTTGGCTCGCTCCCGCTCGCCAATTATCATTGACTGTAGAGCTGTGTTTCTGAGTGACACATGTCTGAAACTCACCTCCTCCATCAGTAGAGCGAGTGAAGGTGGTGGAAGAGTTCCCAATAGGGTTGAAAACTGTGACAGTGATGTCATAGCTAGTTCCATATCTCAGCTTGTCGATAGTGTAGTTGCCCTGCTTTTGCCGGGAGTCGTCCACTAGTCCCTCCCTCAGCATTGTCGGACTCCTCTTCTTCTTCTCGTCTGCTCTGTTAGCTCCCAGCTCACCTCAGAGCCAGTTGCATCAGGAGGAACAGCCCAGGAGATAGTGATGGTGGACGCAGTCTCAATATCTACAGTTGGTTTTTCTGGAACTCCCACTGATGAATGGAGAACGAGTCAGTGACAGAACATTATATTGAGCAGTGTTTGGGTCTAACCTAATGTGATTCCTCGAACTTCAGGAGCACTTGTTGGTCTGTTTGGAACTATCGCTACAGTGGATATGGTGTAGGTCTCTCCATTGGTGAGACCAGTCAGAGTGTAGCTGTTGGTAGATCCACCATCAATATCCACATCACTGCCTCCAGTGAAGGAGATCCTGTAGCCAGTGGTATATCCCAGTGGAGAGGGAGGAGTCCAGGTCACTGTGATACTAGTGGGACCATCACTGGACTGCTCACTATCATCATGGACAGCATTAGTTGAAATATCGCAGCGATAGATGCCAGTCGGTGAGTTAGCACCATGTTACGACGTAAGTCAACTCTCTGAGATACACGAGTCCTATAGATATCAACACCAGGTGCAGGGAAATGTAGTTTAGTTCCATTAGGGAAATACCAGTCTCCCCGATGAGCACCATTAGCAATAGTACAACATGTGGTCAGGTCAGTGATACACTGAACACCTTCACCAACACCAAAGTCAGGTCTCCCCACTTCACTGAGGTCCACATAGGAATGGTTGGCCAGAGTCTGGCTCATGAAGGAGAGACGGGGAAAGCTCTGAGAGTGGACCTCCACCAGAGACCAGAGGAGACTCAACATGACTAGGTGGAAGCAAGAATACATGTCTTCGCAGCTCGAATAAGCGCCTGCACGTAGTGGGCGCTAACGGAAGGAGAAGGATCGGGGGCCAGCACGGCCGGGGCGCGGGGTCTTTAGATCCACCACGCGCGTGCGCACACAAACGCTGTGTTTACTATAATTATATTATACGTAGTAGGTCCCCCCAAAAAACCTGCAGCGGAGTGTGGGCAGTGAGAGGATGAGCTACAGAGCGCCGTACACGGCCGAGTCTTCGCCGGCGAGGCGACCGCGTGTTGCACGCGTGGGCAGTCTCGGTCCTGCAGCGCTAGAAGAGATCAGCCCGGATTCCCCGCAGTCGCCGTCGGCCTACGATCGGTCGTCAAAACGTCGTCTAACGGTGTGCGTTGTGGGCAGCGGAGGCGTCGGGAAGAGCTCGCTGACCGTCCGCTACCTCAACAACCATTTCCCCGAGGTATAACGTCAGTAGGTAAAATGAGAAATCGCTAAGATTGCACGGCATGCGAGGTTTTGCTAGTGTGGGGGCGTGGCAGGTTGATCCGTTTCTCTCTCTTTTCCCTCCAGTTTTACGACCCAACAGTTGGTAAGTCATTACTACATACACAAAGAAATCTCGTACACTTTGCGACATTCTCTATATAATTATGCATTACTTCTATATATGCATTAGGAAACCTCTTTAGTGGGTGTTGTCTTGCAGCAACTACTTAGCTACCACAAATGCACATCTGTAACCATAAAACTAGAGATTGAATTCTGCACACTTTATATGTAATCCCCACGCAGAGGAGAGCTACATCACACAGATGGAGTATGGGTTTGATGCACACGACGTCGAGATTGTGGACACTGCTGGTCAGGAGGAGTTTATGCTGTTCAGAGACACAGCTCTAGCCCAGGGAGACGCCTATCTCGCCCTGTTTGCCATCAACTCCGTGTCCAGCTGGTACAGTCTACAGGAGCTGCGAGACAAGATTGTTCGCGAGCACGAGGACGAAGAGAACATTCCCATGGTCATTGTGGCAAATAAGAGCGTGAGTTTGATTTCTTAAAGAGCTGCTGATGACAGGTTTATACAATGTTAAAACAATACACACAGCTTCAGAAGGTTTGAGAATGTAAACATAGGAGCCTATTACGTTACAACAGTTAGCAATCGGCCATCAATAACGTTAAAAGGGGTATATATACACTATAGCTTACACGATTCTTAAGAGTTGCAGAGTCATTCGCCATACATCAGAGAGAAAATAACACATGATACCACTTCTCATAGAGTATATAGTAGACTATCCAGAGGCTATTCATAACTGAGCCATGCGAATGAATGTTGTCAGCTACTCCGCCTTCTGTCAACAAGTCTTCAGAATGCCTGTGATTCCCAGGAGCAGGCATCTAGCAATGCTTCACACACCGTGATATATATATATGGGCTGTTTTCATACACGTTACACGTCTAAGTATTCAATTTGCACACACGCTAATGGTATATAACCAACCTTCTGCATACTTATCCACAATACTCATTCATCATGATAGAGCTGTGTTTATATGTGAGCTGGCTTCCCCTATACCCAGGACTTGGAAGCATACAGACAAGTCGAATTTGGCGAAGTATCAGAGTATTGCCGGAGCATAAAGTGCCCCTTAGTGGAAGCTTCAGCCAAGGTTTATAATTACTGTATATACTGTACATACTTTACATATAGACACTGGGGGTACACCAAAACCAAAAACCGTGAGTGTATGATGTAACAATGTGTAACACCTGTATAAACAGACCATCCACAAAACAGAAACCAGTGGGACAGAAGAAAGTGTCCACAAGAGAAGTGTCTTACTTTAGTTGCATGCAAGAAACTCCTCTTGGGTAAAAGAAAGGTGTCCTCATTTCTCTGTCATTAGAGAGGGGTTTTATTGTATTGGAAAGATAATTTGTTTCTTTTGGGGCAGATTTATAGATTTGTATTACAAAATGCTGTGTCTCTCTCCAGACAGGGCTGAATGTGACGGAAGGTTTTAGAATGCTAATGGACAGAGTGTCAGAGATTCAGCCTGTAAAGTTTAGAGACTCAACTGCAATACCGAAACTACGTCACACGGACGACGACAGCAGAAAGAGATGTATCATATCATGAAAAATATTATTTTTAATGCACCTTTTTTAACTCAAGGTTTGTCTACACATTTTTGTGTCACACCGCTATAATTAAGTGAGCATAGGTTTTTTTAAATCCTAAATAGTCGGTGGGTTAACAAAACACCAAACGCACACACAAACAGCAAGTTCACACAAATAATAATAATTATGATAATAGAGATATAATATTGACAATGGTGAAAAGTGAGCTATTGATAAAAAAAATAAACAACCTTTATAAACCACAAAGATAATGAAACATCCCACGCTGCATACAAAATACCACAGATGGTCGGGACAAGAATGCCGTGGCCTCGCATGCTCGTTAGCTGCTGTCTCTGCAGAGTATGGCGCGGGGGAGTCAGAAACTTTGGCAGAGCCATGAGCTGGAGAGAATTGAAATTATAGCATCTTTGGCCAGTGTTCTTGAAACAGTTCTCCAGTCTAGTGCCATTCCTATAGGGACATACAGTACAAATACGGCAGTAAAAATACCATAACACTATAGATAATGAAGTTCAGAGGAAATGAACAGCTAAAGGGCTGCGACATGTTCTAAGAACCGAATGGCTTTATGGTAGGTAAGACGATGTCATAGGTTCTAAAAATAAACGAATCACGATCTGAGAGTGGCTAGAGTGGTGTGGTAGGTAAGACGATGTCATAGGTTCTAAAAATAAACGACTCATGATCTTAGAGTGGTGTGGTAGGTAAGGTTCTTAAATAAATGACTCACGATCTTAGAGTGGCTAGAGTGGTGTGGTACATAGGTAAGACGATGTAAATAAACGACTCACGATCTTAGAGTGGCTAGAGTGGTGTGGTACATAGGTAAGACGATGTAAATAAACGACTCACGATCGTAGAGTGGCTAGAGTGGTGTGGTACATAGGTAAGACGATGTAAATAAACGACTCACGATCTTAGAGTGGCTAGAGTGGTGTGGTACATAGGTAAGACGATGTAAATAAACGACTCACGATCGTAGAGTGGCTAGAGTGGTGTGGTAGGAGCTGCTGGCGAGATGATGGTTGGTTCTCAGCACACTGCACTCCTCCAGGGTGACCGACATGCCAGTCCGGTCCTTCCCGCTCTTGCAGCAGGTGAGCCGTCCTCCGCACAGTCTCTGGCACAGCTGCTCCAGGTAGAGGAAAAACTCTACGTTCTTGGGCTTGTGGGAGGTGTGCTGGTTCTGGACCTTGGTGAAGAGATCTCTCACTCTCTCCAGCTCCAGCTTGGCCTGGGCCGCTGCGTGGGACCACAAACAGTGGAGAGGTGTTTCACGAGAGACTCATGTGACGTAATGTATGGACGATGTTTGCACTGATAGTGGGTAACTTTCGAAGAAGACTCGAAACTCACATTGACAAATTATGGACATTGCCAAATTTTTAGTTGTCCCTGCGAAATTTATTTTTGTCTACAGCATTAATCCTACTAGGTATGTACCATGCCCATCCTTATATACTAAGTACTACCGTCCTTAGTGTAAAGTTACAATGCAGAGAGTTGACAAGGCGACTTACAGGGAGTGGTGGAAGTAAGTTTCTCGTATTTCTCAAAGTAGCTTGTTAGAAGATCCATGTTCTGAAGATTGATGTCCTCCTGCAGTTGCTGCCTGCAGTGGAGAGAGAGAAGAGTGAAGAAATAATACATACGCAGTGGGCCCCCTCTATGTGGGGCAGAAGTGTACATTATTAGTGAGGTGTCCTTTGCGTTGTAGTGCATGCAATAAACTGCTATTGGGGAAAGAAAAGGTGTCCTCATTTCAGGGGTGTTCTTATATAGAGATGTAGGCTCAGTTATCATCAGCCGATAGTAAAGACCTGTAACTTAGAACGTACTCGTGTTTGTTTGTGAGGCTCTGTTTCTCGTTGACTCCCTGCGTGAAGATGAGAGGCACGACCGAGATCGTCTCTCCTGCCTGTAGCTTTTCGTCTTCTAGCACTGCGAGATACTCCCTCGCAAACAGCAGCTGCACCCTCAGCGCTCCTCTGTGGAGGGAAGGGTAGGTAAGTGGAGATTTAGGAAGAGAGAAGGAGAACCTGGTGCCTGAAATGTGGAAGTCGAATCTCAAATCAGGATTCCTGCCGAGGGCGCCAAGCTGTAGGGGAAACCACGCTTTATAATTCGAAATTGTGAAAACGCTGAGCAGTTGAGTTTCCGTAGTGTAGCGGTTATCACGTGCGCCTCACACGCGCAAGGTCCCCGGTTCGATCCCGGGCGGAAACAAATTTTTTTCCTCTTCGAAACCATTTCTTACACTGAAAGCCACATTTTCAACATTAACAATACCCTCCAAAACCAATCTCGCTTTTAAACAGGTGGCAAATAATATTTTAACACCAATGAAGGCATATACCTGGAATGTGACTGTTCCCAGTTCAGCAACTGCGACGCACGTATCTTCTAACATGCCACTTTCATCACCTGAAAATCGACACATTCACACATCAACTAACACAGAGAGAGTTCCACACCGACCGAAAGTGGAGAGAAGGCTCTCGAACTGCGCCAGGAAACCGATCTCTCTGATCTGCTGGAGGAACTGAGGGTGGGTGAAGTGCTCGCTCAGTTTCAGGTAGAAAGAAGTGACTAGAGCTGTGAGCTGATTCGAGGGAGAGGAGGAGAGGGGAAGAAAGGGTAAGGATGAGAGAGAAGGGAGAGGAAAAAGAAGGAACAGAAAAGTAAGGGAGAGAGGGAGAAAGGGAGAGAGAAGCAGTGTTAAGGAATAGAAAAACTCTGCAGATGACGACGAACCACTTGAGAGAAGACGTCATCTCTTCTTCTCCGTAGCACCGAAAGGTTCTCCACATACAGATCCAGCTACATACATACATACATACATGACAACAGGGCAATCAGGACACTTACGAGCTCAAGAACCAAGACTACAAGTGTACAGTGTTGCATACTGAGAGAAGAGGGCACCTGGTATCATCACCCTTGCCTTCCATACTAAGTCATTTCTTAGTACTATTATTTGGCCAGAGATGGAAAATGTTAGGAAACTAGAGCTAGATTTGCTAGCCACACAGACCTCCATAGTTTACATAATTGCAGCCCCAGAGTCTTTGAAGCAAGTGCACCTAATAATGTCTTGGGCCATCCCCCAGAGACACAACTATTGCAGTCCTACAGTACATGTATAGAGGATTAGGACCTGCATTAGTTTGAAGGCGAGCGAGCTCATTGATACTTTCACCAGGCCGTCCAGTGTCTGTCGCAGTTCAGAGAACAGGGGAATTAGTTTGTCTGACCACACGTATGCTGAGGAGAGAGAGAGAGAGAGAGAGTCATCTATGAGAGACGTTAAGTATGGCTTACATCTGGCTTACATACATCAATGTTACCATAATATTAGCAATATGCAAAATATTTGACGGTAAACTTGTACGTCGTACGTACTTGGTCTGTAGGTGAAGGGAGTAGTAGCCAACTGAAGATGCAGCTGCTTCGTGTTCTAGAGAGAAGGGGACAAAGGTCGTGAGGTGGGGTGCGGTAGAATGACTACACGTGTGTCTCACGTTCTTGTATGATCCTGGTTGTGGCCTCCTCCACCGCGTTGATCAGCCTCACCAGGTAGTGCTGAATACTGTCCTGGGAGTCACTCTGAAATGTGTAACAGCCCACGTGTTTAGAAATAGTAGCCCGTGTGATTAACCAATAGTGCGCGTGGCAATCACAGTTGTCTGCATTACTCACCATTTTCCACTCTCTCGTGCTGACTTTTACGAAATTCTTTCCGTTCCAAATCCAGTCTGAGAACAAGACGAGGCATTTCTGTCACAAACAATTCCCCTCCCTCCGCCACTCACCACTGGGGGAAGGGACGCAGCGAGAACACTTGCCACAGGTGCACTTGGTCCATTTACAACCCTCTGCCCCGGACGAGGTGTCTGGTCTGTGAGGTGTCTTCAGAGGGGTTGAGGGAGGAGACGGTGGGGAGGTCTCGTCTTCTGCCTCCACCCTCGGAGTACCATCTAGTGCAACACCTTTACAGTCAGGAACCACAAAATATAACGACACTATTCCTATTCTGGAGGTTGTTCTGCTGTACTTGAAGTTTTCAAACACAACTCACTTCTTCTGACGCTAAGTTGTCTGCTGTTCCATTTGGCGCTGCGGGCAGACCGATTGAGAGAGAGTGTCTTTCTCGTCTCAGCCTCCTCATCATCTCTCCTCCCTCCTCCCTCTGAGGCTACCAACAGGTTCGGCGAGCTCCCGTGCGGACTCCCCGAAGTGGGCGTGGCCGAGGAAGAAGTGGGCGTGGCAGATCTGGCAGAGTAGGGGCGGGCTTGAATTAGGGCTTCGATGGCGTCCATGACGACAGGCAGCTGCATCTTTTGAAGCAACTGCTGCACCTGCACAACATTTCACATGCCCAGGTGAGTATGAAATACTAAAACCTTGAAAGTTCATGAAAGTTTTCTCCCTAGAATGAAAGTTACTAACATATAATATACCTGATTTGCTACTCCAATCATTGCGTCGTTCATATTCTGTGGTGACGCATTGGCACAAGCCCTGCAGAAAAAACAGCCACCGTTCCAGGTGACATCATGTTAAAACTGACTATCAGTCTTGTGTTTGTCAGTATATACTCACATGTAGACAGCATTGATGTAGTGGAGAATTGAAGAATGGATGTCTGAGATTTGGGCTGAAATGAATCAGAATAGAAAAAGAGTTTGTTACTCTCGGCCTATAACTGAAGTTTATTGCATGTCTCAACAACTTGGTAATGAGGTAGAAAGGCAAGGCAAACAAGTCAACTACACCCAGGACAGCTCTCAGAAAAGAAGAAGAGCTGCCCTGTTCTTAGCAGAAGAGATGTCTAAATGTATGGTAGCTCTATTTACAGTTGCAAGACTCACTCATGGCGTTCTTCACTTCGGTTGCATTTCCCTCCGACCATCGACTGATGAAACTAGGACTAAATCCAGAGAGAGAGAGAGTGGGAGAGAGAGAGAGAGAGAGAGCAAAAAAAGATAAAGAGGGAGGAAAGTAAAGAGACGCAGAGAGAGAGAGAGAGAGAGAGAGAGCACAATGCCACACAAGTCAAGAGAAGCACAGGAGATTGACTCGGGAGAGTCCGTTGACTCACTTGCTGCGTGATTCCCAGAGCAGTTTCTTCAGACCTCCGCTCTTGAACCCTCCGCAGTGGTGGGCGGGGCATCCCAACGTCACCACATTGTATATCCTCTCTGTACACGCAGCATATTAAAGTCAAAATTTTATTAGAGCGACAGATATTTCACGATTTGAAAATACAGAACATTTTGCGAGGTGTGTTTTCCAGGAGCTACGCAGGGATTTGATAGAAAAACTGTGGTACAAGAACTATTTAAACTGAATATCTGTGCACCATTCATCATTTCACAGACGTGTGATCATGGAATGACAGTCGTTGAAAATATTTGATTACGGTGGTTGATGATGCGTGAGAGGTTTTCTTGGAGAGTGAGCAGGAATGCAACTATGTAAACCAACCCCTCCCCCCTCCTTCCCTCCCTTATTCCTTTACCCCTCCCTCCTCCCTCCTCCCCCTCACCCGCTTCTCCACTGTCGGCCCCGTCTCTGACCCTCATCCTCTGGATGTGTAGGTTGGTCGGAACAAACATGAGCTCCACGGCCTTCCTCTGTTGGCTGGACTTGAACGTACACTGTCCTCTATCTGTGGAACCCACCAATCATTACATACACACCACTCTAGCCACTCTAACGATAAACTCTCTAATACTGTCACAGTTCACAATGCTGGACTTGAACGTACACTGTCCTCTATCTGTGGAACCCACGAACCATTGCATACCTCACCTGCCTTCTGAACCATTGCATACCTTACTACAGGATTAAACTCTCTAATACTGTCACAGTTCACAATGCTCTATCTGTGGAACCCACCAATTCATTACATACACATGACCCCTTCACTACTGTCAGACACTTTGGATTAGGTAACCTATAACTCTCTAATACACCGTCACAGTGGACAATGCTCATACGGAAACAAATGTCTTCTATCACAGTCTCTCTCACCTGCCATGAGCTCCAGGTGGGCAGCTGCATGTTTGTATACACCGAGAGCTTCAAACAGCATCGTCTGGTACTCTTGCATTGACTCCTGCCACCTCTCACTCAGCTGCAGTGGGAGGACGGAGAGAGGGAGAGGGAAGGTGGACGGAGGAAGTAAGTAATCATAGAAGGGAGGAAGGAAAACTGTTACCACCTAATTACAGTGGGAGGGTGTGAGGGTGTGTGTGTGGGTGTGTGTGAGGTGGTAACTCACAGCCCCCACATTGCTCCTGAGTTCATCCACCAACAACATGTCTTCTTTCATGTAACACTTCCTGCGAGACATGAGTGAAGAGAGGGTACAATACATGAATTTGGTTTCAGGTTCATTTGGTGTCCCAAAAATCAAGGGTTTTTGTTTGGGGCTCACAGCAGCTCAATTGGGACTTGTAGGTTGAAGACACTCTCCGACATCTCCTCGATGACCTTGAACTTTGTGTCACGAGAGGTGGTGAAGAGAAAATGGCGGCGAACTGACGCTCTCATGATGTTACTGAGGGAGAAGGGAGGGAGAGAGAGGGAAGTAGAAGTTTGATCAACGTGAAGACGTGTTTCTTACGGTAGGACGCCAGCTGCGTTCCTCTGTCCAGAGGCTAGAGAGAGGGAGAGAGAGAGAGAGAGAGAGAGAGATAGCACTCAAATTTACGTAACCGTAGACCTTACATTCAGAGCGTTTCTTCGAGTAGCTTGGTTCATAGATGACTGCAACTGATGGAGGATGAATATTCAATAAAAATTATTCCATTGGAGTATACCCTACCATCAGTGGTCTGACGTAGATAAAACCACATACAGGTCCGTTGGCTTCCTTACTGCAGTCAGTGATAGAAAGGCAAGGGGGAGAGAGAAATGCAGTGACGGAGGAAAGGTGATAACCATGGAGAGAGAGAGAGAGAGACAGACAGAGAGAGAGATGAGGGTTAATCTCACCAGAGGTGTAGTTTGAGCGGGGTATCTCCTCCAGAGAGGACAGCAGACACCAGACACTCTGCCCTGCCTACCACCTCGCCCTGCAGCCAACACAACCCAGCACACAGTACTGACTGCAGTTAGCACAGCATTATGTACCCATACTCTCTGCCTTCAGATACGCAAGGAACATACATACTACGTATACCAATTGCTAAATGCCCAGAACACAAAGTGTTTGTTCACGGGCATAAAACAAAGAAAATGCATCTTTACGAGTGTATAGAGAGGGGTTCGACTGTACAATGTGCCCACTATAAACAGCTAGCGTCTGATAACTCCGGACCGCGAGATTTTTACAAGAACAAATATTGCATAACAATGCCAGCAGTGCTCACGGTGACGTAAAAACACACAATAACAATAAACAAAACGGTGCAATTCTCACGCTAAAATAAATTATTCAAGGGACAAACTAATCAAACCAGTGGGAGAGAGCTGTATCCGTGCCAACGCTTATGCATTATTACATAACACTTATTGAGGTGAAGAAAGCTATTTGTGTCAGTGCTTACGTGCTTGCGTAACACTCAGTGATAGTAATGGCAGCAGTAAGAGAGATAGTAATGGTAGCAGTAAGAGAGATAGTAATGGTAGCAGTAAGAGAGATAGTAATGGTAGCAGTAAGAGAGATAGTAATGGCAGCAGTAAGAGAGATAGTAATGGCAGCAGTGAGAGAGATAGTAATGGCAGCAGTGAGAGAGAGATAGTAATGGCAGCAGTGAGAGAGATAGTAATGGTAGCAGTGAGAGAGATAGTAATGGCAGCAGTGAGAGAGAGATAGTAATGGCAGCAGTGAGAGAGATAGTAATGGTAGCAGTGAGAGAGATAGTAATGGCAGCAGTAAGAGAGAGATAGGTGCACTAGCAACACTCACGTATTTGGTGACATAATTTGGGTCGGTGGAGTCCCACAGTTCCTCTTCCTCGCCCTCACTCTCTGTTGAACTGGACTCAATGTGGAACACTTCGAACACCAGCTGACCTGGGAGGATGAGAAGGAGGGGAGAACGCACATGGCCAGTTTTGCCAACACAAAACATTACATCACTTTTACATCACTGTTTTTAGTTGTTCAATGCACAGTACTATAATATGTAGGACATCTGTTGGGGAGAAATAAGTCAGTGGGGATTTAGAAAAACCCTTTCCCTATATACCACTATATATAGAAATGGAGAGAGAGAGAGAACCGAAATGTGTGTATGTAGCTGTACCAGATTTTGGACAAGATGGTCCAATTTCCAGGAGAACCAGGTGACTGTAGACTGGAGAGCAGGAACACTGAGAGAGAGAGAGAGAGAGTAAAAAAAGGTGTTAAGGGAGAAATAATTTTAGCAACAAAACATTTCACATGATATCCAGACCACATTAGTGAAAGCTTTACGGTATATAAGGAGGTACAATTACAAAAGATTAAGGGGGCAGGGTTTGTACATTTTCTAGTACCGTAATTGAGGCGTAGGGGAGAATAATATACTATATCGGGACTGCTAGCTGCGAACATCTACAGACCTTGATGAGTTCAGTTAGGGAGAAGGTGGAGAGGGCAGAGGTGCCTCCATCTCCATAGCACCTCACTCTGACCAGGGTGGAGGGAGGGCCGCGTTCCTCCTTTACTGGCAGCTGCTCACATCCTGCGGAGGGGGGAGAGGGGCATTAATAAAGACACGAGTGGATCAAATGATTAACTATACACCTAGTTCAAGAGGGGTTAAAACTACACCTAGTTCAAGAGGGGTTAAAACTACTTTCCTTGGGTCTGTGGAGGAAATACCGCGCAATATACACTAGCCCTTTGAAAGTATGTGAGGCAAGGACATTACAATTTTAAGTATGTATGTGATTTGTACACATAATTATGCAGTGACCTAGGAAATGCTCGGTTCAGACTCTCACATTCACTGACAATACCAGGAAATCAGTACGATACTCTGATACACTCCATAGAGGGAAACTAGGAGGAAAACTACTGATGGTTGATAGTGACTTACGGAGACTCAGTTCGACTTGAGGGCCCGGCTGACTGTCAGCCATAGTGTTCAATCTTCTAGCTCTCTCTGGTGGTGATGGTTAATGGTAGCAATGGGAGAGAGAGAGACAATGGTCAACATACACACAGACATACTACTTTCATATGTACATACTGCTTTTGGCTATTATACTAATGTTTGAGATTATAAAGAGTATTGTGTCTGAGGAGCTCGTTCAAAATGCTACCAACAAACTGCGCTAAACTTTCAAATCGTGTATTGGGAGGGGAAAAATTAAAAAAAAGGAGAGGGGGCACCCGGATTTGAACCGGGGACCTCTCGATCTGCAGTCGAATGCTCTACCACTGAGCTATACCCCCTGTCTTCTGCTTCTATTACTGTCACATGCAGAGCACCATTGATCAGTATACCCTACTGTCAATGCACACCTACACACCATTGACCACTGTGTCAACGCACACCTACACACCTCAACTATAGGGTAATGTAAACTACAGGGTTAACGAGTGTACACGTGATGTAAGAACTGCTGCGGTACTTTCACATTGAGAAAAACATTTGGTCAGATATTTTTACTCCCCCACATTGACAAACCCATAAGACCATAAGTCAAGTGCTATCTCAACTCTACAAAAATGGCACATACAACACTAATGTACAGTATGTATGTACCTCCATTGGGGGCCTTTAGATACGCTGATCTCCTCACTAAAGTAAAAGAGAGAAAAATCACATCATTGTTTGGCTTTCGTAACATTATTGGACAAGTGTAAAAGAAGGGTTCGGATTTCATGAGTGAGTCTTCAGATTTTACAAAAGTAATGCAACAAGCTGTTTGTTGGTGTAGAAGACTGTCCTTTGAGTGAGTTGTTCACTCACTGTTTTTCTTTATTCTACTGGGAGACGAGAGGGCAGAACTGATGCCAAGACCCTTCTCCAGCTTGAGCTGCTCAGACTAGGAGTACAGGGAGTGTTAGAAGAGAGATAGGGAAGGGAGAAGGGAGATAGGGAAGGGAGAAGAGAGATAGGAATTTATATGGAGATAGGGCAGGGTCTACTCTATGATGGGGCAGGGAGAATGTAGATCTGGAAGGGTCTCCTCTCTCTCGTTCCTTTCCTCCTCTCGCTTTTCCTTTATCCTGGCGCTCTTGCCGTTCTGCCTTCTCTCCTTTCCTTTCTCCTCCTTACTCGCTCGGGCCGTGCGCGCCCTCTCATGTGAAGTGCGCCGTCGCTTTGTCCGTGCGCCTCGCGCTCGGGCTGGTACTCCTCGCGCTGCGTTCCGTTCTCCCTCTCTCTCTTTGCCGTGCTCCGGGCTCTGGTTCCGTTCTCACGCTCTCTCTTTCCGTGTCTCCTCTCTCTCGTGGCTTGCGCCCTTGCGCGCGGGCCGTGCGCCTTGATCTCTTTCACGGCTCCGCTGCGCTCTGGTCTTTCGTTCCTGTCGTGGGCTCGCGTGTCCCGTCCGCCTCGCTTACTCTTGTTCCCCGGTCTCCGCGCGCTGGGCTCTGGCTCCCGCGCGCTACGTCCGGGCTCCGCTGGCGCTGGGCCGTTATTTCTCCTCTCTCTCATTTCCTGTTCGCCTTTCGAGTCTTTCCTTGCTCCGCTTCTCTTTCGCTTGTCTCGCCCTCTCTCTTTCCCGTTCTCCTTTCTCCTCTTTCCTTTCGCCCTTGCTCTCTGTCCTTTCTCCGCTCGCCTGCTTCCTTGCTCCGTGGCGCTCCGGGCCTCTGACGCCCTTGCGCTCTTTCATTTCTCCTCTCTCTCTGGCCTTTCTCCTTTCTCGTTCCTTGCGTCTCCTTCTCTCTTTCCTTTCTGCCTCTCTCTCGTTCTTCGCCGTGTCTCTCCTTTCCCGTGGCTCCGGTCTCTTCTGTCCCGTTCGCCGGGCGCTTCGGGTCGGGCTCCGTGCGCTCGGGCCTGGCTCGCGCGCGCGCGCTCTTGTCCGGGCTCCGTGTCGCGTCGTTTGCGGATTCGCCCTTCTCGCTCTTGCCGTTCGCTCGTCGTCTCTCGGGCGTCCTATGTTCGCCTCTCGCTCTTTCCTTGCTCCCTTGTCTGCGTTTCCGTTCGCGCCTTGCTCTCTGTCCTGTCGCCTACTCGCTCTGGCCGTGCGCAGCTCCTCTCTTTCCGGGCTCCTCGCGGCTCGCCGGGCCTTCCCCCCTTTGTCTCCTTTCGCCCTCCCTCCTTTCCGCTGGATATAATTGACTTCCCCTCATATATGCGAACACGACCGATTAGATGTGGTGCCCTTACCTTTCGCCCTAGTGATTGTTGGTTAATTTTGTCTTTCCTTTTGGCATGAACAAGGGTGGGTTTCTCGTACAGTGTACATTTGCCTTTTTGAGAAAACCTCCATTGCGAGTGCTGTCAGTGTAACCAAGGGGTTTGAGTCAGACATAGTTGTCTGCCAAGTTCCAACTGTACTCGCAGTGGGTTACAATTGAGAGAGAGAGAAGAGAGACCTGTGGCGATAGAGCTTGTTTAGCAATTGAGTTTTATTTGTACTGGTTTTTGTGTTATTTGGTTACTAACGGTAACGCAAAATAGTAACAAAGTATCAAAGTGGTAAATGTGTCACCGTTATTAGTGGCAAGTAGGTCACACATTTTCAGGGGTTAATTCATGAAAAGTTGGAGACTTACAAAGCTGCTCTGTTTCGGAGAAACGTCCCTCCTTAGTTCAGTGGGTCCTCCCTAATTGTAGGAGCTGTCCACCATTCCATCCCTTGACAATCTTGCGCTACTGCAAGCATCCTGATTGGTAGTCTTATTCCCATCAGGCTCACTCTGCTCAGAGAAGTGCTTAACTTAGACCATATATTTCACTCTGGAGTCATCAATTTACTCTCATGACTGGGTACATGACCTTTGAAAAAATTGCCTGCTGTTGAGATAGAAATGACCATCTATGTTTTGATGGGTCAATAAGACCGGGTTGGAACTGTGAGTGCGGGGATAGACACTACGCACTAGAGTACTCAGTTGTAGTTTCTCTGTGCCAAATAGGGAGTTGTGCAGGAACAGAGATATTATTACGACTCGCTGATCTTAAGGTAACAGTTTGTGTAAATAACTCGCTCCCACTGTGACTGTGCGTTCTGCTAGAGGGGGCTGTGCCTTCGTGCCCTCCGCGCCTGTCTAGGCTGTCGGCTGCGAGTGTCTCACGCTAAGAAGAGAGAGAGTGCGGGCTCTACGTGCGCACATCGGATGGCTCTCCGTTCACGATGAGTTTACATGTTACACACGTCTCGTTGTCCTAGCAATTTAAGGATAAATACGGGATGGGAGTAAGAGCTACCTTTCCGCTTTCCCGACGTTTGCCCCCGTCTTGCTCGTCGCTAGGGGGGGGGAACGGGGTGTGGTGCGTGCGCGTGGGGCGGCGACCCTCACTCCAGAGGAGTGCTTGACGCACCACCGTGTTAATTTGGGGGGTTTGGGGATTTGTTGGTCTGGGTGTTTGTTGTGGTCTCTTTTTTATGTGTCTCGCTCTTTCTCTTTCCTCCGCGTGTTTTTTTTTTTGATCGTTTGTGTGTTTTTGTCGGGGATTGAGGGTGACTGTACCGGTCGCCGATTGACTAAGGGAATGGTATTTAAGGTGCGGTTGGTGTGTCGGTGGATGAATCACTCTCAGGCACACTAGCTCGTCTCTAGAACAAGTGCAAGTCACCGTCGCACTCAGGCGCTGTCTCGCACGAGCGGTCGCTTGCGAATTAGCAAAGTGTACCGCTCTCAGTATTGATCAGCAATAGTAAGGATCGTTCTATCGGTGTGTAGCATTTTGATGTTATTAGGTCTTATCCTTCATATGATTGTTTCATTTTCCCCTCTTGATGCTTGAGTTTTGTTATGGGTAGGATTATGGCAGATCCGGTTTGCCTCCGGTCTTTGTCCGCATTGAGATTATGGCGAGAATATAGTTCATAATGTGGCATTGGTGATCTACGTAGCTACATAAGGGAGGGGAGAATCTGGTGAAAGTGGGCTAGTGTGTATGGCTGAAGGTGGGGCGATAGAGGTGTCCAATAGGTACGTCACAAGCAGCGTGGGGGGCGAGTGGAACATGGGCGTGGGAGGGTGGTGGAGAGGCATGTGTGTTTTGAGACACGACTATTATTGAGATTGTGTACAAACATTACAAATAGACTTTACCAAATCCACATATCCACTCAACACAATTAATATTTACCATGAAACAGATTACACACAACACCCAAGCGTGCCACATAATGTTATTACTTTATTGTTACATTGATAGTCTGATCTCTCCGTATTTTGTACTTTCCTCTGTCTCCGCTCCGTCCGTCTTTAGTCTTCATCTTAGGTTCAACAACATGAGATTTTAATTTGATTTTTTTTCAATTCCTTTCCCTGTGATCCGGTAAGGGCTTGTTTCGTCTGTTTTCCCTTTGCTCTTTGCCCCGCTCTTTCTCTCTCCCGACTTTTTCCTTCCTTTGTGTTTTCTCTGACTGGTCTTTCGTTATCGCTCTTTCGTTCTGTTCCTTTCGCTGCTGTTTTTCCCCCTCCTGTGCCTATCTTTCGTACCCCACTCGCTCATCCTCCACCCTCTTCAGGTTTACATCTCTTCCCCCCTGCCGCAAGCTTGCCCTCTCTTTTGTTTCAGCTTTCCTTCGTATGGGTTAGCCCTCCTCTCCCGTGTGGGTTCCGTCGCTCGTCGGGCCCACGGTCGTTTGCCTAACACGTGTCTCCTCTATTCTCCCCTCTCCTCTTATCCACCCCTGACCTCTCGCTTCTCCCCCTTTTCTTCTTGCTCTAACAACAAATTTCGTTGGCGTGATTATGCGTATTACGTCATCCAAGGTAAGGCTGATGGTTTTTATTATTCGCTGCGTGACTGTTAGTGTTGCTGATTTCTGTAGTTTGTCGTTTAATTATTGGAGTCGGTGTATGTTCGGGGCCCAAATAGTCTTTCAATACTGGCTTCACCTACTGAGGCACCATTTATCACATCACTTACCCCTTCCTAGCTTTTTCTTAGCCTTTTTTCTATTTCACTTTTTCGTCCAGCTGGGTTTATTTGGTAATTGTCACCAGAGCGTTGGTAAACGATTATGCCATGCTCAAGAATTGTTAGCCTTAGTAGATTTTTCTGTCTGGTTCATTAGTACAGTAGGATAACTTATGTAGTAGCTAACCGAAACGCTTGGGGGGTTCCAGCTGTCGACAGGGTCGTTATTTTATAGGTGTCACGTGGCGGTACTTATGTACTCATTAGTATTGTACCAGTCATCCACTTGCATACGACATTGCAACAACTTCATTGTATATTTGTACTGTGTACTATTTCATCCACAGGCTAAGGCATCCCAGCCATTTGCTATTATCATTTATTGGTCTCATACACTCGTTTAGATCCTACACGGGTTTTGTTAATATAGTTTCTGGTCGCTTCTCATGCTCTGTCCTACTCTCATTTCTGACAAAAGCAAAGCCGCTGGTAGTTTAGACAGCTTGGTTTGCACTGTGCTTGAAGGCAGTGGCCTGGTGCTTTGTTTCTTCCTTGGGTATTCCCTTGGCTACTCCTCGTGGGCGTCTTCTGTCTCTTGGGTTCCTTCCTTGGTTTATAGTCTCCGTCTCTACTGCTGTCCATTTGTCTCTTCTTCCTGCCCGCAATTCGTGCACGTCCGTCCCCTCCTCTTCGGCACTTTTGTACAGCATATTGACCGTAGTACTCTTGTTTCGCGGCTTTTCAAGGTCTAAACCCACCCCTGGTTTCTGTAGTTCCCTTGGCTTCTCCTTGCACAAGGAATAGTATGAGGGTTTGATTGATTTGTATCTTCTGGTCTGCCGTCCACGCTCCTCACTCCGTGATCATGTATGTATATGTTGCTGTGTCTGTGCTACGCGTCCCTCTGTTAATATATGCTAAGTCTTAAACACAGCTATGCTAGAGCCTCAGTACGAGTTTTAGTTGCGACGGTTACAACAAGTCACCTCCCTCGATGCTTCAGTGTGTTGTCTCTTCATGACGTTGCCACCTTTCATTTGTCACCCTCTATCGTCCGTTCCTCATAAAATTTCTCCCA